CTGGCCCTGCCCGCCCTGCGCCACCTCCGCCCTGGCTTTCCTTTCCAGGCAGGTGCATCGTGCCCCTCCGCACTGGCCTGGGCCGCCTCTGGCCCGAGCCCGCAGTGCCGCTTCTTCCCGATTCCTTCTTTCCCCTTGGTCTCGCGGGCTCCGCCTGAGGATGCGCTTTCCTGTGCCGCCGCTGCCCCTGCTCCGGGCACCCTGTCTCCTGCGAGCAGGTGCGGGCCTCATCTGGGGCACGCCGGCCATCGCCTCTCCCGCTCCACCGCCATGTCCTCTTAACTTGGGCTCCCTCTTCGTTCTTCCGGCCTCTCAGCGCGGCTTCTCTTCCCCTCTCCCCGCCTGAGGCCAGGCCTGCAGCCGCCCCCGTTCTGGGCAGCCTGGCGCACCAGCTCCTCCCGGCTGCAGGCCCCCTCCCCAGGCCTGGTCATGGTCTCCCGTCACTGCCCCCGTGGCCTGTGCACAGCCCCTGCCTCCCTCACGTCGCTTTCCCCAGGTGTCTAGAACCCTGCAGCCTCTTGCCTGGGCCCAGGTCCTGTTGCAGACACCTGGTTGCTGCTCCCAGAGATCTGTGTCCCAGAGCCAGAGCCACCCAGCGTTCCCGGGGTTCTCTCTGGTCCTCCGTCTCCACGCTGCCACCCACCTGGGGCCACCACAGACAGGCTCAGCAGCGCTGGAGTCCCTGTCCCCTCCCTCTCCAAGGCCTTCTTCCTACTTCCGTGAAGTTGGCTGTAGAGCGGCTTCCTTTCCTGGGGTAGCTTCCCCCGTTTCCTGGAGCCCTCTCCTCGCCAGATGCCTTGGGCTCTGTCACTGCAGGAGAACCTGGGGACGGGATGACCCGGCCAGGGATGTGCAGCCCGGGGCGGGGGGGAGCGGAGGATGCTTGGGGAGGCCAGCTCTCCAGTCCCGGGACTCTGTCTGACCTCAGGAACTCCTCGTCCTTTCTTGGGGGGCCTCGGTTTTCAGTGCCCGTTCCCCCGCATCCCTCCCTGGCAGGCTCTGGTGAAGGGGGGCATGTATGGGAGCCCCCTTTGCCTGGCCTGATGCACAGTAGGTGTTCACAGGGAGCTGCTGCCCCTCTGTTTCCACCCCAGGCCCCTTCTCGCAAGGCCCCAGATGAGCAGAATCCTGTTTCCCCCAGGCCCCTTCCCTCCATTGCCCCCACCCCTGCACCTCTGGGGCCCTCCCTGCGAGGTTCTGCCTGCCCCCCACCCTGCTCTTCAGACCATGCCCCTTCCATGCACCCCACAGCCCCCAGAGCTGAGCTCCTCCTTGACCTGAGCCCTGCAGGGTCTGCCCTGCCTAGCCTGTCAGGTGCCTTTTCAGGGACTCCCCGGCTGGTGAGCACTTGGTAAACCCCCTTTCCCTCTGCAGGCCTTTGAGGCCCTCCGAGGCAGGGGGGAGGTTTTGCCAGGTGTGGGTGGGGTGACCAGCTTAGACTGCTTGCCCAGGACTGGCTTGGTTTTAGCACTGAAGGTCCTGGGTCCCCGGTAAACAGGGACGGTTGGTCACCCCGACTAAGGGGCTCCTGAGTGAGGGCAGCAGGTCTCCCCGTGTAGGGTGCGCTTTCTGCCCTGAGGCCTTCCGTGACAGGTCCCCAAAGCTCAGCCCTGCCCTGGTGGGTGCACCCCTCACAGCTGGTACACGGCCCCAGCCCCCCCGCTGCTTTGTGGGTAGTGGCTTGGGGGGAGGGCTGGGGCCAGGACTCCGAGGTCCGACCAGGGCGGGGCTGGGGCCCGGTGCCTGGCGGGGGAGGGCGGGCTGACTCGGGGTCCCTGGTGCCCAGGCCTCGCGCATCTTTCACATGGATGCCTGCGCTGGGCCAGGTCCTTGAAAGGGAAAGGCCTGATTCCCTGCTCGGCCCTCCCCCTGCGCCATGACGACCGGTGGAAATAAACGGAGCCCAGAGTTCACCCCGTTCCCAGGGCGCTGCGGCCCCCCTTAGCAGCCTGAGTTTCCATGACTTCATGCTCTTGGCCCTTGTAGCTTCCTCCCGTCTCCAGATGGGCGGCTTGGGAGAGGTGAGGGAGTGGGGGTTCGTCCACACTGAGCACACGCAGTCCAGGCCCACAGCCCTCAGACCAGCACAGGTTCCGGTGCCCCCGCATCTGCACGGGCTGGGTGAGGGCTTCGCCCCGGGACCCTGTTCCCAGCAGTGGGGGATTAGGACACGTGGCCCGAGTGCCCTGGTGAAGCACCTGTGCACAGTAGGCCTGGCCCCGGGAACCCTGCCTGGACCCGCACAGCCTGCCCCTGGGGTGGGGCCCAGCCTCGCTCGGGCAGTTCCTAGAGTGTCTGCTGGGTGCAGGGGAGGGCTGGGGGCTTCCCTGGTAGGCGGCCTGCTGAGCCCCCGCAGGGTCCCGAGCAGGCAGGGTGCACACCCTTTCCTGTCCCCGTCCTGTTGGCAGGCGGCTGTGGTCCATGTGTCCCCGCCAGCCGCCGACTGACCTCCCGGTCCAGCAGCCTGCGCTGTCTTAAATAGCGTGGGCTCTGAAGGCCAGCTGGAACAGGGTCCCGGGTCTGTTTCACAGGCCCCATCGGGAGCCCGCCCTGCCGAGCCTGCAGGTGAGCCTGGCCTGGGCCAGGTGTGGGCTGACTGCCCTGTGCCCTGCCCTGCAGGCCTGCATCGATGAGAATCTGGAGGTGGTGCGCTTCCTGGTGGAGCAGGGCGCCACGGTGAACCAGGCGGACAACGAGGGCTGGACGCCCCTGCACGTGGCCGCCTCCTGTGGTTACCTGGACATTGCCAGGTGAGGCGGGGCGGGGTGGCAGGCCCTGGCCCTGGGGCGTGGGGGTGGACCCTCAGCCCTGACCCTCCTCCCCCAGGTATCTCCTGAGCCACGGGGCCAACATCGCCGCTGTCAACAGCGATGGGGACCTGGCCCTGGACCTGGCCGAGTCGGACGCCATGGAAGGGCTGCTCAGGGCGGAGATTGCCAGCCGAGGTGGGCCTCTGGGGTGGGGCCCCTCATGGCCGCCCTGTTTCCCAGGATCCTTTGGCTGTCCATGCCATGGTCTCCACCCCTGTGGGGGGTAGGTACCTCCGTACAGGGCACTGGAGCCGAGCGAGGGGCAGGCCTCCCCACGTGGGGGGCGCTTTCTGTCCTGAGCAGGCCACAGGGCTCTTGTCCCCAGGGCTAGAACAAGGGCACTGTCGGGCTTTGTGGGGTCTGGGAACCCCGAGGCTGTCGGGCCGTGCTCATTTTCGGGGAAGTGTGCATTGGCTTCTAGCAGGTTCGCAGGGACTTGACCACCTCCCACCTCCTGGGAAGCAGCTGCGTGTCACCAGGCGCTCAGCCCTTGAGGTGGGGCCGTGGGACCAGAGATACCGCAGCAGGTGGGGAGGGCGCCGAGCGGCAGGACAGGGAGTTTGTGGTGCCCAGGGACACCCCTGGGCACCCCAGGTTGCCGGATTGCCAGTGTGGGATTGCGGGTGTGGCTTCTGACACCTGATTTTATGGGTTGGCCTCCCGGCTGTCGTAGGGGCTGACAGTTTGACTCCAGGTTTGTCCCAGAGGTTTTCTTACTTAGTAAGACAAGGATGGGGGCCAACAGGTGGCGTGGTGGTTAAGGCACTGGACACTGGCACATGGCTGACCACGGTTCAAGTCCTGGACCTGGTGGCTTGCTTTCTCACTTTTTCTCTCTCTCTCTCTGGTCAAATTAAAATAAATGAATGAATAAACAAAACGAAAATAAATAATTCTTATTTAAACAGAAGGTCAGGGCTGGCTGGCGCCGTGCCATGGCAGCTGTCAGGCTTCCGCGTGGGCACAGAGCTTGCCCTGGCTTAAGAGCGCCTTCGGGGGTGAGGGGCCTGGCGAGGAGCAGATGCTGGTGGCTGGGCCCCCCCGCCTCCTGGCAGCGTGACTGACCGGGAAGGAGCTTGCCTGCAGGGGACCCCCGGCGACAGGGCCAGGCTGGGAGCCCGCCTGTGGTTAAACGGGGAGCATCGCCTTCGGCCGTGGAGCCGGCCCTCCCGCCTCCGCCCTGCCTCCTTACCTGGAGAGGCTGCGGTGCGGGACGCTGCAGCTACCACGTGACTGCCCCAGGCGCCCACGGGGCCTTGCCAGAGGGGTAAGTAAGAGAGCGGCCCCAGGGGTGGCCACGCTGCCTCCCTCCTCCACTCTCCTCAGGATCTTGGGCACACACACACACACAAGTTCTCTTTTTTTATTTTTTGAGAGATTTTTGCTATAGGGCGTGTACGCTCACCGGAGATACAGAGAGACAGGAAGTGAGAAATCACCCCAGGGGGAATGGCCGCGCTGCAGTCCCTTCTCCACTCTCCTCAGGATCTTGGGCACGCACAGGCGTCTTGTTTGAGTTTTAAGCCACCGGATCCGAACCTCTAACCAGGGTCGACTTTGTGGGAGTCCAGTAATGTAACCATCACACCATCTGCTGGTCCTGCCAGTGTGTTTTCAAACTGCCAGGTCCTGGACTTGAACAGGCAGCTGGCCGTGCGGGATCCAGTGGCCTTAACTACGGCCCCGCGGGCCCGCCCGTGTTTATTTATTAGAGATCTTTGCTGTAGGTGTGCTTGCTGGAGAGACAGCGAGATCAGAGACAGAAAGCCAGGCCGTCCGGACTTCAGTGGCTATACCATGGTGATGCGGGTAATGTCCTGGTGCGTAGAAAGTGCAGGAAGGTGCCCAGGGGGCTGCGGGTAGCACAGCAGCAAATTAGTCTCCAGTCTTTCAGGAAAAGTTATTTCTATAGCTCTTGTACCTTTTCTGTAAATTTGATAGCTTTCCTTTTCTTTCTTTCTTTCTTTCTTTTTTTTTTTTTTTTAGAGGTTTTTGCTATAGGGCACGTGCGCTTGCCAGAGAGAGACAGAGACAGACAGCGAGAAATCAACCCCCCCGGGGGAATGGTCACGCCTCAATCCCTTCTCCTCCATTCTCCTCTCGGGATCTTGGGCACGCACGCACACGCGCCCGGCGGATCTTGGGCACTCACGCACACGCGCCCGGCGTGAGTACTAAGCCACCGGGACCGGGACGTGAACCGCGGTCGACTGCGTTGGAGTCCAGTGACATAGCCATTATGCTAACTGCTGGTCCCACTTTTCAATTATTTTTAAACTCTTTCTTCTAGTTGTGTTTTTCAGTACCTGCTCCCAAGCCCTGAGGAGGAGAAAGGGACTAAAGGTTGAGTGGTCACTCCTCACCTGTGATGCAGGCGAATGTGCCTGTGTAGTGAGGCCTCCATAAAAACCCAGACGGCTGAATTCTGGCAGCTTCTGGACCCTCGCCTGCATGGAGGGGCTGGGAAGTCCCTGAGGGCGGAGCTCCGGGAGAGCATGGAAGCTCCTTCCCGTACTTAGCTCCACTTGGCCCTCTCATACACCTGTCCATCTGTACCCTCTGAAATATCCTATATAACAAACTGGTAAATGTAAAAAAGAGACAAAGCAAGAAATCACCCCCCGGGGGATGGCCACGCCGCAGTCCCTTCTCCATCTTCTCCTGGGATTCTGGGCATGCACGCACACGCCCTGCATGAATTTCAAGCCACTGAGTCTGAGACTTGAACCGTGATTGACCCACATGGGAGTCTGGTGCCTTAACCACAATGTCACGTGCTGGCTCCTGCCCCCGTGTGTTTTACAACTGCTTTGTTTTTTAAGAGAGTCTTTTGATATAGGGCGTGTGCGTTCACTGGAAAGACAGAAAACAAGAGTCACTCCCAGAGGGGGTGACCACGCCGCAATCCCTTCTCCATTCTCCTCTCGGGATTTTGGGCATGCACGCACATGCGCCCAGCATGAGTTTTAAGCTGCCGGGTCCGGGACTCACTGCAGTCGACTCCGTGGGAGTTCAGCAGTGTGACCATTAGGCATCTGCCGGCCCTCAACTGCTTTTCGAGAGTAAGTCACACGCCTTGCAGTTCTCCCATGCCACGTGCAGGTCAGTGGCTTTAGTGTGTTCACAGGTCAAGGCACCAGGCCCCACTTTGTTGTAGAGTGTTTTCTTCAACCCCCAGAGAGCCCTGCGCCCCTCAGCCCCACCCCAGCCCCAGGGAACAGCGTCTGGTGCCCGTCTGTGTAGCTCTGCCCGGGGGCATCGCATGTACGTGACTCAGAGCCATCCGTTCTGGCTCTGGGCGCTCCCGTGCGCTCCCCACAGACGTGGAAACGTGTCCCCTGTCCTTGTCTGTCTGTCCCTGTCTCCTCTCTCCTTGCCTTCCCTCCCTTGCCTTCACAGTCTCAGGCAGTTCGAGGTGGCTGCAGGATGGTGACTTCACCTTACTCGGAAGTACCCCAGCAGCGAAGGTGCAGCGTCTCCCCCTCCCGTCGGCAGCCTGCCCCCCATCTGCTCAGTCTCCCCGTAGTTAGGAACAGTCCTCACCCTCCCTTGAGCCTTGGGGGGACAGGAGTGGCTCCCAGGGACCCAGGGACTTTCTGACAGTCCGTGTTTCTGTGAAGTTGCCCATGACTTCCCAGAGGGATCCTCTCTTCCGCTCTGGGACGAGGAGAAGTCTCGAGCGCTCGCTGGTTGGGGTGTTGGCTTCTAGGATCAGCCAGGAGCAAAGGCCAGGGATTCTGGAGGGACCCTGGACTGCGCTCCTGGGAGCGGGACGCTGCTCGTCATCCCACTGGCTCCACACGGGCTCCCCAGAGTGGGGCTGTGGTCGGCAGGCCCCGGCTTGCACCCTGCACCCCTCTGCATGGAGGGCAAGGGCTGTCCCCACCTGTAGCACACGCGTAGAGGAAGGAGAAGCCGGGACCTGGGCGGCTGGGCGGCTGGCCGGCAGGGGTCAGCACCCCTCTGCTATCCCCACCTTGCTGCTGCTCCCCTCTTCTGGGTCTTTGCTCAGCGAGAGGCCCTGGTCCACCCGGCCCGTTCTGCGCCTGGACGTAGTTCTGTGCAACTTGGCGGTCTCCGTTCACGGGATGGTGCGGGCTCAGGCATGGTGCTGCGGGACCAGAACCTCTCGTGGCACTCAGGCCGGAGGGAAGGGTGCACACCCCATGCTTGTAGCAGCAAAGCCACGGCAAGGTGGGAGGCCCGCGTGTCCACAGATAGGTGGGAGACAAGGGTGAGTACCCAGTGGAGCTGTGTCAGCCTGCCGGCGGGGGGCGGCCCGACGGCCCGAGCAGGCCACAGCAGGCTGCACGCGCAGGACATGTCGCCCCAGGGAGGACGCGGGAGGTGCTGGCCAGTGGGTGGGGCTTTGGCTCTGCATGGCGGAGGTGGGCCAGGGCTGTGTGGTACTGTAGTTGCACTCCACACCGCACACGTCCAAAATGCTTAGACGCCGTGGCGGCAGGTGCTATGGCAGGTAAGGTTCAGGACTCCCACGTGGCCGACCATGGTTTGAGTCCTGGACCTGGCGTCTTGAAACACACCGGATGCCTGTGTGTGCCCAAGGTCCCGAGTGGAGAATGGACGGATGCCTGTGCGTGCCCAAGGTCCCAAGTGGAGAATGGAGGAGAAGGGATTGCGGTGTGACCATCCCTGTGGGGTGACTTCTCTCTTTCTCTGTCTCTGGTGAGGGCATGTGCCCTGTGAAGGAAGAAAAACTTTAATAAAGAAAAGAAATGGTTAAATGGAAACTTGTATGTGTATTTTACCACAGTTTTTCTTTTTTTTTTTTTAAAGAGATTTTTTACCATAGGGTGTGTTTGCTTGCCAAAGAGACAGACAGACAGATAGAAAGTGAGGAGTAACCCCCCGGCTGGGGGGATGGCCAAGCTGTAATCCCTTCTCCTTTATTCTCCTCTCAGGATTTTGGGCATGCACGCACATGCACCTGGGGTGAGTTTTAAGCTGCCTGGTCCGGGACTTGAACCAAGGTTGACAACGCGGGAGTCCTGTGATGTAACCAATACGCCACCTGCTGGTCCCTACCACACGTTTCTGAAAGGCAGTTTGCGGGCCATGTGGTTGAAGTCACGTATCCTCAGGCATGGTCTGACCCAGGCGCACAGTCGAGGGCTCTGAGCGGCTTCATCGGAGGCAGGTTCTCTGGGAGCTGTGTGCTTCGGGTGGCTTCGCACGCCAGCTGGACTCTCGGCTAAGACAGAGCACCTTGGGCTGGCTCTGGCCCGGTGCTTAAGGCATCCAGGCCCCACGTGCCACATGCAGGGTTTGAGTCCCGGACCTGGCGGCTGAGAAACCCGCTGGGTGTGCGTGCTCCACATCCCAGATGAGCTTGTAGTGTGGCCTGCCCTGGGCGCCTTCTCTTGTCTCTGTCTCTTTCTGGTGAGCGCGTTGCCCTCTAGCACGATAAGGTGTCTGAGGAGCGAGAGCACCCAGTTCTCTGTTGGGTTTGGGAGCCACCGTCCTGCCCCGAGGTCACATGCCGGAGCGGAGTGGGCACCCAGGCTGTGGGCTCGGTCACGTTGGGACCTCGTGAGGTGAGGTGGGACGGGGAGGTCAAGGTGTGGTCAGGGCAGAAGGTCCAGACAGCGGCTGCGCCCGGGCTCCCACGCACAGCTTGCCAGAGCCTGGCCGAGAGCTCAGCCTGCAGACCGTCAGGGGCTGGGCGTGGCCAGGGCACAGGCTGCGAGAGCCCTCGGTGGAAGGGAAGGGGGGTCAGTGAGCTCCGCCAACGCCTCCCTGCAGGAGATGCATTCGGCTGTAACAGGCTTGAGCAGGTGGCTCTCTAACGGGCTGGTAGGAGCCGGACTGTGTCTCCAGTGCTGTCCCCAGCATTCTCCATGACTCTGCACTCCCAGCTGGGACCCCATTACCTGGACATCCCTGGAGTCGAAGGCTGTGACGAGGTGGCCCCAGATGGCAGCCCTGGACAGACGGGGCTGGGCTTGCAGTGAGCCACGTCATGTTGGGGGGCTGCCTCTCTCAGTCCCACCTGGAGCCTCGTGGCAGAAGCTGCCAGTGTACACACGTAGGAGGATGTGACCAGACACGTTCCTGGGCGCAGGCCTGTGGCCGTGGGCATCCCGGCCATTGTGAGCCGGGTGGGCGTGCGGGGTCTGGCAGGCGGTGCAGTGGAGTCCAGTGAGCACAGAAGGGACGTTTAGGAGAGAGCAGAACAGGAGGGATTGTCCTGACTTACTCTCAGCATAGACATTTTTAGAAGGGTTTTGCCATAGGGTGTGTGCACCAGAGAGAGTCAGAGAGTGAAAGTGAGAAAGCACCCCCCGGGGTGCATGGCCATGCCACAATCCCTTCTCACTCTATTGAGATTCTGGGTGTGGTTAGGGCATGCACACATGCCCTGTGTGATTTGTGATTTTCTTTCTTTTTATTTTTAAGAGAGACTTTTGCTGTAGGGTGCATGTGCTTATTGGAGAGACAGAGAGACAGAAAGCGCGAAGTCAGCCACCAGGAGTAATGGCCATGCCGCAATCCCGTCTCCATTCTCCTCCCGGGATGCACTTGCACCTGGTGCGAGGAGTCCAGTGCCTTAACCACCACGCCACCTGCTGGCCCACAGTGTATCTCATTTACCCTGTCTACCTGTCCATCACAATGCTGTCGTGTCCACGGGGAGCCGCCCTGTTTGCCTCACCCTCCGAGGCCCCGCGTGCATTGTGGTCCATTTGCAGTGGCTGCAGGGCGCTCCACTGCACTCCCTAAGTGTGAGGCTTCGCGATTGAAGAGCGAGACGTGATGGCCTTTGCTGTAGAGGAGACCCCTTCTGCCTCGGTCCCAGGGCTTAGAGCACCGGCAATTTCGATTCTTGTCCTGGCGGAGGGGGCCGTGACTGACGCTGCAGCCGGAGCCTCGCAGCCTGCTGGGTTCAGCCCCTGAGCGTGATGCGCATGTGAGACTCAGTGAGCTGGAGGGCTGGGGAAGGGCTTCAGGTGTGAGGAGGCCCTGTGGGTGTGGTGCTCATTGTCACGAATAAAATAAACTTAAACTTGAGAAAGAGCCGAGATTCTCTGTGACAGTGAGCAGAGTGAGACTTCAGCCTCAACGCCAGTTTAAATCCAAAGTCAACTCGTTTACTGGTAAGCCAGGACTTGCCTTCGGCGACAGCGCAGTGTAATGGCCAGACGGGGTGACACGTGCTGATGGGGAGGGCCGCGGGCCGCTTCCTACCAGACTGGCTCGGCGGTGGCGCCTCGCACACGGCCAGCACCTGGTGGGGAGCAGCCGTTGCCTTGACGGGGTGTGCGGCCCCCGTCCCCCTATGAGGTCAGTGGCCGTGGCTCGGACGTGTGGGGAGCTGAAGGGTTATGCTGGACGACAGGGACGATCGCGGGACGCAGGGCCAGGTTGCCGGTTATCCCTGGAAAAGGCCTTCGTGACCCGGAGCCCCTTCGTGAGGGCTGCACGGAGCTCAGCTGGGGCCCCGGGCGGGTCTGGGCCTCTGAGCACCGAGGGAGGGGCCAGTCCTGGCTGTGCCGCCCCAACCCAGGGCGCGGCCCGTGTTTCCCAGCCTGTCGGTGACGTGCCTGCTACATCTTCTCGTCCTCCCAGGTGTGGACGTGGAGGCAGCCAAGCGGGCCGAGGAAGAATTGCTGCTTCATGATACGAGGTGCTGGCTGAATGGGGGTGCCATGCCAGAGGCCCGGCACCCTCGCACGGGGGCCTCTGCCCTGCACGTGGCCGCTGCCAAGGGTTACATCGAGGTGATGAGGTGAGCCAGGCCCGTCTGTTCTCACCACCCCGGCTCCCCGGACCTTCCTCTCCCTCGCCAAGTTAGTAAGGCCAGGCATCTCCCTGCACCGCCTTAGCTGCACTCATGATTTTCCGCGTAGTCTTTTTCTTGTTTTAGAGATTTTTGCCTTGGAGCACATGCGCTCACTGCAGAGAAACACCCAGGGGAGGGAAGGTGAGAAATCACCTCCCGGGGATAGCCATGTCATAGTCCCTTCTCTGTTCTCCCGGGATCTGGGGCATGTACACACATGTGCCCAGTGTGATTTTCAAGCCACTGGGTCTGGGACTCGAACTGCTGTTGGCCATGTGGGAGTCCAGCGATGTAACCACTGTCATCTGCTGGTCTCCATGTGTAGTTTTTTCATTGTCATTCAACATAAAACATTTTCCAATTTGTAATTTTCTGGCCCGTGGATTGTTCAGAATTGTGTCCTCAATTTCCAAGTGTCCGGGGCTGTGTAGTCATTACCTCGCTACCAGTTCCCAGGCTCCGCTGCGCTGGGTTCTGAGTGGGTTCTGTATGGCTGCAGCTGTTGGATCCCTCCGTCTGCTGGGCGTGGTGGTGCCGTCGGCGTGGGTTAGCAGGGCAGGGCCGCCTCACGCCATCACACCTGCTACCTGCTCGCTCGGGCCATTTGCGAGGGGTGCGGCAGGTCTCCCGTGGGGCTGTGGGCCTGGTCTCCTCTCCTGTCCTCAGTCCCTGTCCTCCATATTTCAAGGCCAGGTTACTTGGTGCATATGTATTTTTTTAGAGATAAATTTTTTGATTTTTTGTTATAGGGCGTGTGCACTTGCCAGAGAGACAGAAAGTGAGAAATCACCCCCTCCCGGGAGAAATGGCCACACTGTAGTCCCTTTCCCTCCGTTTTCCTCTCGGGATCTTGGACCCGCATGATGCATGCACACACCTATGTAAGTTTTTAAGCTGATGGGTCTGGGACTCGAACCGCAGTTGACTGCGTGGGAGTCCAGTGACGTATTCGTCCTGCCATCTGCTGGTCGTGGTGCACGTGTATTCTCAGTGGTTCTAGGACATACTCTCTCCGCCCCCTCGCTTTGCCCCCAGGTCTCGGCCGTCTCTGGCGCCCCCTCTCCTTGCCCCCCGGTCTCGGCCGTCTCTGGCGCCCCCTCTCCTTGCCCCCTGGTCTCGGCCGTATCTGGTGCCCCCTCTCCTTGCCCCCGGGTCTCGGCCGTCTCTGGCGCCCCCTTTTCAGGGCGAGCACTTTGCTCCAGTCTTACCCTGCAGCTCCTGCCTCGCCTGCGCTTTTTCTTCCTTTCTTTTTTTTTTTTTTTAATAGATTTTCTCTATAGGGCGCTTGCGCTCGTCAGAAAGAGAGAGAGAGAGACAGAAAGCGAGAAATCAGCCCCCGGGGGGATGGCCACACAGCAATCCCTTCTCCTCCATTCTCCTCTTGGGATCTTGGGCACGCACGCACACGTGCCCGGTGTGAGTTTAAACCACGGTGTCTGGGACTCGAACTGCGGTCGTCCACATAGGAGTCCAGCGACAGCCATTACTCCAGCTGCTGGTCCCAGCCAGCTGTCTTGTGTGCTGTCACAGTGCTTAGCGTGATCGTGGTGCTCAGGCGGCTCCCTCACCGCTCTGCTCACCCCCTAATTGACTCATTTTTAGGCAGATTTTCCTAGTGAGGTACTTAAGGCGACTCCGGACGGCACCAGGCTGAGACCAGCTGCGTAGCTCTTGCTGTTGACTGAGCACCCTGCGTCTCACCCCAGGTCCTGGGTCTGATGATCACCCGCTGAGCCCTCTGACAAAGTGGCCGGGTGCTCCCATGGTTACGCTCACTGATACGCGCAGCCCCAGGGTCTGTGCACTCTGCCTATGACTTCCGCCTCTGAGTCCAAGGAAGCTGCTTCTCTGCTGCCATTGTATCTGCATCCCAGCTGGCAAGAAGGGGCAGAGGGCAAAGAGAACAAGTGTAGTGAATTCCTCTTAAGAGAACAGCCCTCTGAAGGGGCGCACACCACTCGACACTGACATCCGATTTGACTATTCCTAGCTGCAGGGGATGCTGGGAGATTTGTTTTCAGCCATGTGACCGTGTGTCCAGCTGAGTCAGGGCTGCAACGAGAGAAAACGAGTTGATGCTGTGGGCAGCCCCGCCGCCACAGGACGGGAGCGCTCTGGACTCAGCAGGGGTCGCCG